GACAGCCCAAAATTGAAACAAAAGTGTGTGCGTGCATCTTATTCCCCAAAGATACTGTCTTCTTTTTGACTATTTATCTGCTTAGTAACTTGGCAGATTATGCTGAGAATTGACATAATACAGATTTAGACAGAGTATTATATAGACAGAGCTTTTTTTTTTTTTTTTTTTTTTGTTATCATAAATTTGTGAAGGAAGATTTAAGATCAAGTCTCAGGAGTCTTGGTATTTCTGAAAAAAAAATAAAAGTTAGCAAAGCAATCTCCTGAGATTTTTGTCTTGTAGCGCATGTTACTGGAGGCTGGAGAGAGGGGAGCTGCAGACAACTGGCAATAGCTTACTCAGTGTGCTAAATAAATTCTTGTCTGTTCGTTAATAGAAAAATGACAGTGCTTGAAGCCTGAAATGTTTTATATTATAATAATGAGCTGTAACCTCTACATGGCAGGTGAGACCTGTGAGACCTATTTATTTTCTAGTTGAAAACAGACCCAGTGTGACATTTATTTATTTATTTAGTTAGGCCTCATGGGTTTTTGAGCGCTTTCTTATGTTGTCCTTTTATAAGGTAGAAACAGTAAAATCCCTGTTAGAATTGAACAGAATCTGAACGGGGGGAAAGGGAGAGAGTAGCGAGCGTGTTCTCCCCTCTGGCTCTCTTGTATTTTGCCAGCAGAAGTGGTGACCCAAAGGACCAGGCAGCTGCTTCTGCAAGTTCTTGGAAAAAAGTACTTCCAGATTCCTGAAGCCGAGATGTGAAAAGCAAAAGACTTTTCCTGTCTTGTAACAGTCCCAGCTCCCCTCTCGTTTCGGGGCTACTGATCTCCAAAGCACCTTCATTCTGCAGCTTTCCAAAGCGCTGGGTGGCCTGGCACCCACGTTCCTCTTGCCTCTGTTTTTGAGCCCTACCCCTAAAATGAAGAGGGGGAATAAACATTTCTCTTCGTCCTTTGAAGAGCTATGGCTCTATGTTCATCACTGCCACAGATCCTAGAAAGAACTGGCATGTTTAAGCTGTACCTATTAGTCCATCAGGCTGTTTTTGGAAGAACGCGCAATGGCCAACTGCAATATTGGATTAAGTTTTGTCTATGTGGCAGAAACCGCTGTGGGTTGCGGGACTTCGAGAAAAACAGGTTTGACAGGTGCCAGCTCCATACTGGGCCACTATTGTCCCAGTTAAGAGTCATGGTGCAAAAACACAAAATTGTCTATCCAAGCTAAGCACAAAATCTCTGAGCTTTCTCAGATGCATCTCTGATTTAGAAACCAAGCTAGATAACTTCCTCCAAGATTTCTTGTGTGTGCGGTTTTCCTGTTTCTTTTTAATGTTCCCCATTCATAAATCAAGAATCACTCAATTGCTGTAAGCAAATTTCCCTTTGAATTCAGAGCTGAGGACCATGTGGAAACATACTTTTTATTTTTGCTATTCTTTCCATTCCAGTTGTTTGTGGTTCAAGTCTTGGCTATATGCTCAAGACACTATTACTATTTTGTAAATCTAGACTTCTGTACTTTATGCGTGTTACTTTAAATTTGAGAAATATGTTGGTTAATAAGGCAAAAAAAGAGGGACTTAGAGCTTCTAAATATTTCATACTGTTTAATAAGTATATCTACTAAAAATAGCCTTTGCAAAGAAACATAGTAACTTCTCTAATATTTTTAGTCAAAAGCAGAAGCCGTAAAGATTTTTTCTGACATGATTAATGGCTACGTATCTCAATTCCTGCATTTTTTTTTTGCTAGGCTCAGCGGAATCTTAAGATTTAAAAAAGAAAGAGTTGCTAGTACTCCTGCTTGCAAAAATAGCTCTTCCTTTATTCTGTTTTGTTTGCTCTTTTGCCAGCCAAATTAGAAGAGTGAGCGGCACCATCCAGCTATGCTCATGTGGTGAGCCCTTCTCATCCGTTGAATGTCCAAGAGGATTCATTCCTTATCTCCCATGCTCCTTGCATGAAGGTGGCAGTGTGTGTGCTTGCGTGTGTGGAATGCAGGATTGGGCACAAATCTTTCACCCTCTGAGATGCGTTTTTGTCCAAAACAAACACTTGGTTCCAGTAAGTGTATTTTAGTTGATAAATATCTGATAGTTTTCTGGAGAGGAACTGCTGTTTGTTTTCTGCCATGAACCAGAAACGTTGTTAGGCTGCTCCTGAGGCTGCTGAACTCTAATGTGTAGAGGAGGCACGTGGTGCTGCTGGTGCGTTCGTGGTGTGAAGGCATCTTGATGCTTGGTTATTTGCCCTCCTTAAAATGTGGCATTGTCCTAGGTGACCTACGGACCGAGCTAGTCATTCAGTAATTCCTGGGGATGAAAAGGAGGAAAAAGACAGGACAAACCATGGAAATGAAAGCTCGTGTATGGGTATTTATTATCCTGTTGCGGAAGACCAGAAGACCTTTTTATTCCTGGAGATGATGTGGTTGCTTTCTTTGGTGACATTACTAATGGCCTCCCCCCTTGTTCACACGTGCTTAACTCCCTGGGCATTTTTCTATTGATATCTTCACGCGGATTACCTATTCTCAAGTTTCAAACATCAATTTGAACAGCAAGGGAATGTTTTAGTGGATATATAAAATACAAATCACAGAGGCCGTACGAGCTCAGTGCCAAGATGAGAACCAGCAATATCCCACCTGCATTTGTTTAGACCTCGTGTGAAATTGTCTTAATTATTTACAATTTTGAACAATTGTATAGTCCTTATTTTTTAGGCAAACACATTTGTCATTGTATATGTGGCAGGTATGCGTATCTATAATTTTTATGCAGAAATACAAAATATAATAATATAATACATCAACAATAAAGCATATCCAAGATACGTATTTGTATAATATAATAGATTTTATCCTGTGTTGTTTTTATTTTCTGTAATAAACACACAATCAATTCTTGAGGCTTAAGCAAACCTAGAGCCACATGTTTTGGCCCTGCTTTGCAGAGATATTAGGTAGGGGTGTCGGTGCTTTGCTTGCTTGGGCAAAGCCACCGGTGCTGTGCTGGGCTATAATAGAAGGCCTGGAGGATGCACTGCTGCCTTCGGTGCCCTTCTTGTCCTTGCACACTGACGGAGAAGAGTTGGAGCTGCACAGAAATGGAGTTATCCTCTGAATTGCTGTCTGCCCCCATGCGCTGCCTGGCAGTGATTTTAGGTACTGTTGGAGAGGTCACATAAGCTGCTGTATCTCTTGGGCGTTGCGCCGTGTTTTTCCTTGTCACAGTCCGAGATGAAATTCTTTCAAGTTGCAGCTTGCTCTGCTGTTTGCACTGAGCCTAGCGCAGGAACAGAGGCTTTGGGGAGATTTTACAATGTAAATATACCTTTCTTGCTGTCTGCCTTCATGCTGGGTGCCTGTGGATTGAGGGTAGCGGCAGTGGTGAAACCTACAGGAACTAGTCGGACAGGAATTTGGGAGATGGCTTTTTTCCTTCTTTAAGAACAAGATTGAAATGTATATCCAAGCCTGCTCGCTATCGCTGGGAAAGCAGCTATGATTTTGGTGGGGGCAAAATGACATCTCTCCTAGGAAATAACCCTGGTGTATATTAAATCTGGGAGGGGGAGGCAAGGCAGGATTGGAGTGAAGCCAGTCCTGCCCTTGCCTTGTCCTGTACAAGCTATTTTGAAATCAAAAGGAATTATGTATAAATAACCGAGGGTGGAAGCGCATGAGTGAGTGCGAAGGGACTTGCTCACCTGGTGCAAAATTCCCATGGTGAGGGGTTGACTTATCTTTTTATATATATGTATGTATATATTTAGTACAAAGAGCTCATTTCTAGCCTTGGAAAGATGAGACCCGGTTTGGGAAGGCACCAAAGCGCTTTCTCGAGGGGTGGTGTTCTGCAGAGCTGAGTCTTGTGTCGGCTTGAAAGGCCTTTGATTTAGGGAAGGGGAGGGGAATAAAGCAAAGTGGTTTCAGGTGCTGCCACCTGAGTGAAACATCTCACCCAGGGAGACCCTGTTCTGTGGCTCCTTAGGCAACATGGTCATGCAAAGCAGCAACAGCACCTGCGCATGCAGCCACCTGCGGAGCCCTGCACCTTTACACTCCCTTTTCTCCCGCTTAAAAATAGGAAACAGGAGAGGGAGGCTCTTGGCTGGGCTTTGATTGCTGTGTTGAGAAAGACAAAATGAAGCTGGAATGGCTGGCAGCGAGGGAGAACCCTTTCCTGTTCTTTCCCCACTGTCATTTAATGTTTCTTCTAGGCAGCAATGGGTAAAATGGGCTCCTGAAGAGGCACATAGCCCTGAGCTGCCATCCCTGTTGCTTGTGACTGGCAGGCTGAGAGTGCCGAAAGTTTTAAATAAAAATTTCCTCTGGTATAAAAAAGCCTTTTTCTTTTCTTTATTCTGTAACTCGTAAGCCACCCTCACATTTATCCTGCACCTTCTAATCCCAGCACCTGTGGCTGAGCAAAACCGGCCGGCTCCGGCCTGCGCTGCCCCCCCCCGCCCTGCTGCCAGCCTTGTCCAGCTTCGGTGCTTCCACAGCCCTGTCAGGGCCCTGTCTCGTGGCTCCAGCCACTCCTGTACTTTTTAAATATATATATAATAATAATTTGCCTTCTTATGTTCTTCTTTTATTAAATGCTGAGTGGCTGGTCAGCAAATGTATGAAACCCTGTGATGGAGCTGGGCACCATCTTGGTATCCCCCCTCATGCTGACTGGTTCGTTGCGTGGCAAACTGGTTAGGGCAAATAAACGAGGCTTTTCTGTGCAGTGTCAGAGTCCAGCCTACACAAAATGAGCATGATGGAGTCGATAAACCAGCTTTTGCCTTAACACAAAAAGCGTGTGCTTGTGCTGCTGACATGGTTTCCCCTGGGGTGGCCATGGTGGAGAGCTCTGGCCTCCCTTCCCTTTGAGGGAAAACTGCCCTCTTCAGACCTGTTGCGTGGAGAAAAAGTGAAACAAGGGCAGGGCAGTGTTGCCATTGCTGTTTAAGTCCTGGCTGTCCTAACACTTGTCCTTTTTCCCCCAGATGTGAGAGCTGTGTGGAGCTGCTGTTCGTCAGAGGGGCCGGCAACTGCCAGGAGTGCGATACCCCCCTGCGGAAGAGCAACTTCAGGGTACAGCTCTTTGAGGATCCTGCCATTGACAAGGAAGTGGAAATTCGGAAGAAGGTGCTGAAAATGTGAGTGTCACCAGGTTAAAGAAGAGAAGTTGGAGGGAAGAAACGTGTAGATGCACTTTAGGGACGTGCTTTAGCAGGATAGTGTTGAAGGGTTTATGGTTGGACTCAATGACCGTGAAGATCTTTTCCAACCCTAATGATTCTATGATTTGGTGGATCACTGTGCTCACAAATTAACCTTTTTTTTTTTTTTTTTTTAAAAAAAAAAAATCTATTACTCTGTTGCATAGAAGGATAACCAAACAGATAACTTCATTCAGTTTAACACTGGTGGGTTTCAGAGAATCTGACTTTACGCAGTGCTGGAAGAATGGAGCCTCATGGAATTCCTGCTTGGTGTTTAAAAAAGATACTGCACTTCCTATGTAACCTTGTTTGGCTATTGTGGGTAATTAGATGTGTGGACTACAAGTGCTTTCTCTTTGAGTGGTGACCAGTGGAGTGGGGCAAGAATCAGGACTTCGAGAGTTTTGTTGCTTGGGGACCTGTTTTGAGAATTGAGGTCTGGTTGTTCCTCAAAACGGAGATGGATAAACACAAGAGAAGCTGCATTCGTGCTGCTTTCTGTTACATACAACCAGTATTACTAAAAATGCTCCCTTAACAAATCTTACGTTCCCTGTAATGCAGATTTGAGAGATCTTGGAATTAAGATAAGTTGCATCTAAAATTACATCTAACTTCTTATAGGCAAGAAGCAACGTTTTATGGGGGAAAACAGGAGGGGTGGTTTATGTCCTGGAGAAGAGGGTCTAGTGGAAAGTAAAAATCCTGGAGGGTTGTATGTGGGAAGATACACGGGTAAGCTGTAAGCTTGGCAGCCTTTTCTAAGACTACAATATTTTCTAAGGCTACAATATTAAATGAGCCGTATGATGTTGAGATTTAGGGAAATTGCCTCATTGAACACCAAGATGTATCGATATCTAGTGTGGAAAGTGGTATCGTTTGAGGCTTGGTTATAATGTCTGCTGAAGTTAACAGAAGTTAAACTGAAAGAAATTAGCCTACTTGCAGAGCCAGAGCGTGTCATGAGGCACTAGTAGAAAAGAAAATATTGTGGAATTCTCGGTCTGCTTGGATTTGCCAGATTTGCTTTTAGTAGGTAGAAAAAAAAAATCCCAAATTGGAATTTTGAACAGTTCTGGGGATTTTGTGTATTTGTGTGTATACACATACACATATGGATACCTATACACATGTATATGTATTTGTAGGTGTCATATATCTTTGCCTGAGCAGGCAGATTTTTTTTTTCCAACTTATCTTTTGGGGCAGAAAGTTGCATGTCTTGACTCTTAGAGCCTCTCCAAGTTCTGCCTAGATTTGTTGTCCCTTCAGCTTTTTACTCCATCCCAATAGTAGGAATTCTCTCAATGAGTTTTGAAGTGATTTACTGATGTGAAATAAATATATTTTGTAGAATTTTAAGTTTGCTGCTAAAATATACTTTCTGTTGTTGGCATAAAGCCATCTCCTTACTTTGGTATTTCTAGAAAAACTTTTCTTGTGCCTCTTGCTATTGTCTCTGCCTTTATTAACACACTTTCTGTGAGCAAGAGATGGCTTGTGGTTGCTGCATTCGAGCCTCTGTGCTCCCCTTTAACCCTGGCAAATAGTAGGGAATGACAGTGCTTATGCTGGACCAGCTGCTTTCCTCTGAAATGAGCACTTCTGTCTCTTTTTAGGAGATTCTGTACATTGGTCAACTGTGGGAGCCACAAAACCCACTGCTGATAAAACTAGGTCAGGCCTAATACGCTTGCAGCAAGAGCCTTGTTGAAATGAAAATTCATCTTTGTGTTACATAAACGATTGTTTCTCTTGTCTCAAAGATACAATAAAAGAGAGGATGACTTTCCCAGTCTGAATGAATATAATGATTTCCTGGAAGAAATAGAAGAAATTGGTAAGTCCTAATGCTTGCATTTTTGATGTGCTGTGCTCAGGAGACCATAGGCTTTTATCTTCTGACTCAGCTGCCTATGAGAATGTCTAAGTTGAGTTTCTTTAATAGGATTTATTGTAGTATCTGATGCTTATCTAATTACTTTCGCTGTACATTTTTAATCATATTTGCTGAACTGTGGGACATTGTTCAGTAAAACATTTTAGCTGCCAGAGAAAAATCATGATATAAGGAGGACGCAGTGCATTATAACTGAGAAAGACGGATTTACAGGGCATTGTTGGTGTTACACTGAGGAAAAATTAAACAAAGAGGATAAATTCAAATTTTCTGTATATCCATTAGCTTTATCTACCATGACAGAAGCCATATGGTGTCTTTCATCATTTTTTTTCTTTTTTTGCTTCTGCAAGCAGCGTACTCGAAGTTACTTTGAAGCTGACCTTACATACCACTGTGGTAGCATTTTTTGTTGCTGTGCAGGAGAAGGTGATTTAGGAACAGACACTGATTTCTTTCTCTTTGCATTAGCTGAAACAGAGCTTTGCCCTTTGGGAAGGGACTGTGTTATCAACAGAGTTTTTTCTTCTTTCTTAGGGAGACTTGTGATTTATGACAGAATAATGGAGTTTGCCTAGGAAAACATGGATGTGTTCAAAAGAGTCACTCTTAAATAATTTGTTTCTTGGTTTTAGGGGCTTCTCAACCTTTTATTTTTTTTTTCTTTTCCTTTTGTCCTGGAGGAAAAGAGGTGGAAATTTGAAGGAAAACATGCCACTCCCTTTCAGTTTCTCAGAGAAGCTCTTGCTCTTCTTTGGACTGTGATGTTTGTAGAAATGCATCCAATATATTTATTGGTGTGAGTAATGTATCATGTTTTTATTGGCATCAGAAGGCTGAGGCTGGAGAGCTAAATTGTGTGGTTGGGAATCACCAGGCACACTCATTCCAGTCCAAATATCTGGTGTGGAGACTATGTGGGTGTAGTTCTGTTTGCTTATTGTTTTGGATGGTGTGGAGAAAGGAGGGAGTGAGTAGGAAGAAGGGTTGCAGCTTAGCCTGAGGATGCTGGAAGAGTCTGTGTGCTCATGGAAAGGAAAATTGCTTTTTATTTATGTAGCATTTAATAAAGATTTCCCACTTACTGCTGTTATATCAGTTTTCAGTGTCTATAATGAAGGAGTAAAGTTTTGCCTGAAATTGTTTGAAACTTGTTAATTTGTGCAGGGAGTTACGATTTTTGAGCCCAGTTTTTAAACGTCACAGGGATCCAAAGCTTGTGCTAGTAACTCATTTTGGAAGTGGTAGAACTCTCTGTGGGTCTTTATAACCTTGTGAGCCCAAGTGAATCTGTCTACAGTTGTGTTGATCCTGCAAATATATATAAATAAAAAAAATCTCAAGGAAAGCTATTTGGATTTGAAGTCAGTTGCCAGAAGGGGTCACCTCCTGTGCTAGAAGGGATGCAAAGGCTGACTATTTTCTAATTTTCCCTTGTGGCAGTCAGCATGATCAAAGGAAAGAAAGGTTGCAGTTAAGACAACTCTTCATTTTCACTGTCTGAGGGCTCATTTTGTAACCTACTAACTTTAAGCAGAAAACAGAGGGCTCCTTAGGTTTGAGAACAGCACCTTGGGGTAAAAATTCAAGCCCCATTTCCCCTTTCCTTGGGGACAAAGCTTCTTGCATGCATCTTGTTTTCCAACTTGGTCATTCCTGTTTCCCCAAACTTACCTGTGCTTGATCTTCTGAGCCAAGTTCTGCAGCTGACGGTTGTCCAGCATGTAGCAGAAGCATAGTGATTTCTTGCACTGTTCTTGCTGTACATGTTGGATGTGGGTGGCTGAACAACGTGTTAGAGTTGTCTTAAAGTCTGTATAGCTGCTTAATGTTTCACTGCTAGAAGGAGTTATTTCATGTTTTTGTATGTGTCACTTCCCTACTCGTGTGTGCAAGTGAGAAACTGGGCTGCAGGGAGGGAAAGAAAGAGCGTAGTCATGCAGAGCAAAGCTTTGCCTTTGCGGAGACAATGTATAACCCTTGGCAAAAGCTGTTAGTGGTTGTTAAAACTGACAATTTAACAAGCTTGGGTGCAGAGGATCATTTTTAATTTTCACTTCTCTCCTGCCAAATTCTCAATTTTTATGTGGGAGGGTCAAAGTGACTAAAAGTTCAGCTTTACCTTGTTTCTTCTTTGCTGGCAAGTTCTGTTTCTTTGCGCTGTGAGCGTGTGTGTGTGTGTGTTCAACTACAATAATAGCATGGTAGAGATAAAATATGAAAGTCCTGTTTGATGTGACCCTGACACAATTCTTCTGTTCTTCCAAATGTTTCCAGTAGATCAGCTACAACGTTAGAGGGAGCTGGCCAGCCTGATAGGATGCATGACCTCACCTGAAATATATTTTTCTCCTTTATGTCCAGGTGTATTATATCTACGGATATTTTCTGTTTAAAGAGTGTTGGGTGGTATAGCAAAAGTGTGTGTTTGGGGGGGTGGGAAGTCAAACACTATGGTAGTCACCTCAAGAGCTCCGTTATATAAAAAACACATTTAAGTGGTTTTGAACGTAGCCGCTAAGCAATGCGTTGGATTAAAATGTATTATACAAGGCTTTAAATAGAAACCACGTTTTAAAGCAAGTTTTCCCCGGAAGAAATATCAGTTGGACAACCTGAGAACGTTGTAAACAGTTCATCACTGTTAACACTACAAAGGAAGATGACTGAGAGGGTTAAGTTCTGGCTTTAGGAAAAGCGTGTACAGGCATCTATTGAAATGAGTCGGGTAGCTCTGCCCTTACGATGAGAAGGGCAGGGTTAGACATTAAATGACCAGTCGCAGTCTCCAGACATCCCCCAAACTTTAGTTGCTCTCCCTACAAGGTTTTCTTCTTCCCCCGAGTGTTTCCCTAGCTGTTTTTTTTTTTAAAACCTCCTGTGAAAGCTCCCACAATAGGGCCTGCCTCTCGGCATGTGCATGCGCACGCTTGGCACGCAGCTCCCCTGCTACCCGACGGAGGCCTCCGGGCATGACCACAGCACAATTGTTCCAAGTAATTACTGCTTTCTAAAACTTTCCGTACGTTCAGCTTGGAAAGAGGCTACCAGGTATGTGCCTGTCAGGTTCCCGTGTCTCGTTGCTTCTCGTGCATTTTGTGCAATACCAGCCCCCTGGGTGACTTGTGTTCTTGCTCAGCATCCTTATCCACCGAGTGACCCTTGAATAGAAAGGATTTTACTCTTTGTGATCGCCTGTGGGTTATATTGTGTATTGTTTTGTCCTTTCTGTGTGCATGTAAGGATGGTTATGCTGTTGCTAACAATGGGAATAATCGGATTGGAAATCATCGATCTCTATCAAAAGTCCTTTTGGATTCTCTCCTCCAAACAAAGACTTCAGTACTGTACCTGTTCCAGCCCAAGTGATCTTTCTTAGATGATCCTTGCTAGGGATAGTGGTTTGAAATTCATTCAGCATGGTGCCAAGGTGTTTTTCTGGGAAATTATTGTCGCAAGGGAAGACAACTGAGGATAAATAGAAAGAATTATTAAGAATTATTAGTATCTAACTGGTGTTTATTTTTTTTTTTTTTTTTCCTCCTCAGCTTAGCCATAAGTTTTCTTTTATCTCTGTTAAGTGTTTCATAGTAAAAACAGAAATGCTTGCTGGAAGGGACCTCTCAAAGTCATCTACCCCATCTCTCTTCCCGTCTTCCAGCTTCCCTCTGCCAAACTGGGGAGTCAGAGGTAGGACAGGGCACTGAAAATGTGACCAGGATTGCTGCAGCAAAGCTGGGTCCTCAGGGCGGGCTGAGGATCTGGTTGTCCATCTTCCTTTCTAGTGCTCTTCCCAAAGCAGTTGCTTTTCTGCTGTTCCCAGTCTCTGGTTGGCACTTAGGAAGATAATAATTGAAAAAATGGTTTGTAGTAGGACAGGAGGAATGTTGTTTCTGACAAACTAATTTTTATTAATATTTCTTAACTTTCACCATGCTCGTCCCAGTATAATGTGGGCTGAATGCTACATTTTGCAAGATAACCATGTGCAATCTTATTCTTTCTTAATATCTCTTAGGGATTTGGAGGACTGCAGAGGAGGTCAGGAAAGTGTTAAACTTTGAAAGAAGCAGCCATTCAATTTATTTCACTTTATTGCTAAAGTAACAGGCTAAATCAATTTTAGCCTCCTAAAGAAATAAAAAATGATTTTTGACTACATACCATTTGATAAAATAAGCTTCATCATAAAATATATAATAAATTGACTACCTTTCTGTTGGAGCACTTAGTGCCAGCCCTACACTGGTCAACATATAGTTTACTGCTTTTTTTTTTTCTCCCTCTCTTTTTGTAATTGTAGATACCATTAATCCATAGCTTTCTCTTATAGAAGAGTGGGATGTATGGAGCAGCATCTCCTGTGTCTGGTTGGGCCTCCACCTAGCTGAATTCAGCAGGGGTTCCTCACAGCTGGGACCAGAGAGGGTGGAAGGTGGGTGTCGTAAGTGGTTTGTGGGTGAGTGAAAAATGAACAACGTAGGAACTTGCTCTGTAGATCCTCAGTTTAGTACCTGCTGCCGCATCAGAGAGGGAGTGTAAGTACTTTTACATGCTAATGTTACTCTCCAATAAGGAATGGGCAGGAGAAGTCTCGGAAAATATGTAATATCGCCGACTGAAAAGGGGAGATTTTGATCAAGCTGATCAAGCCCGACATTCGCTTACATGCTGCAACTCTAGATAAATTATTGCACCATGTAATCCAAGAATTTGTCTCAAATTTTCTTCTTTCTTTAACAACAACTAAAAAAAAGTGCTTTTCTGTTTGTTTTACAATTGCACAGTGAATGTTGCTTTAGAAAGATTAAAAAAAATTAAAATCTCTCTTTAAAAGGCTGAATTTGAGAAGTACGGAGTTTTACCTAAACAGAATGAAATGCTTCAGAAAAACACAATAGTCTTCCTGTTATACTTCAACAGATGTCTCAAGGCAAGTCAATTTATAAACCAACCAATGTGAGATGGATAAGTAGATAAATAATTGTTGCATACAAAACAGCTTCTGTTTCTTTTCCCTGAAGGGCTTCAGGCCTCTTATATCGGCTTATGCTATATTTCAACATGGACAAAAATAAGTCTGGCTTCTCTTTGAAACTTTTTTCAAACTAGCCATCTGCTTTGCCAGTCATAGTCGGATCTATACCAATATTTTTTCAGGATAGGTGTAGCATGTGGGTTAGGCTTTTAACTCTTTGTTTTCCTCCTAGTTTTATAACCTAATCTGCTTTTATCTGTTTTTTTTTTTTTAATTGAAACATCAGGAAAAATTACATTAAAAATTAAATTGTAGGAAATTCAAAGCAGTCCAAATTGAGCAATGCAATGAAGTTCTCTCTATATAAAAGGTGTGATGCTGTATATGACTTGTTCATATGTCTCTGCCCTTTGGTTTGAAGGGGACATGGGAAGAGTCTCTTAATTATTCTTCATGGCCTAGTCCCCTACCAAATGGACTTTCAGTTGTAATTGTGAGTGTATAATTGTACGAATCTGTGTTCTCTAAATATTAATGAAAAAAAATGAAGATCATGAAAAATATATTAGAAAATGTACTGGAAACTATTTGAGCTGGCTGGCTGGCCCCTGGTAGCAACCATGCAGAGTCCAAGAGCATAGTTTGTCCTGCTGCTAGCATATTTGTGGTAGGAGGAGGATTTTTGTTTTTCATTTATTCAAGGACAGCTGTTGGCACTGCTCTTGATCGAGTGACGTCCAGCTCCTAACACTGTTGCAGCAAAAAATACCTCTTCAGTATTTTACGTTTTGAAATCTGGATCTGGCATTGAGGAGCAGCAGTTAAGGGTGCTGTTATGGGACCAGATGCTCCTCTGTAATGCCTGTGAGTTGTTGCCCAGGGGGGAAATCCATTTATCTTTAAGGACATAGGAAGTAGTGATCCTTGGAGTTGTATTTCTGGTGTGGAAGCACAATAAATGTGGCAGAGCAAAACCAGCGTGGTGCAAGGGAACACGAGGATCGAGGAGACTCGTTTTGTGGCGAGCATCCACTGGAGCACGTGTTTGACCACAGCAGGGAAGCAGGAGGAATAAACCTTTTCTAACCTTACTCCCAGCAGGGCTGCAGGCCTTTAAGGACTGGCTGCACAAGTGGGTCTTGGAGATTCCTGAAACACTGATGGGTCCCTTGCATGGAAATGTTGCTTCATACCAAGCTGCAAGTTACATGAACTTTGGAAGTAGCCCTGAATAAAGGGGGTGCATTGGCATAAGTGTAAAACTTTCCTTGCTTTACCCAATATAAGCTTAACATTTTACAACTTTGTGGTACAAACCTAAGAACCTATTAATGCCAACTAGGAAAGAAAAACAAATTAGCCAGTGCTCGTCAGAGAACCTAGCTCACTAGCTTATTGCTGGATTATTTTTAGAGGAATACCCAAGATGTTCAGGAGCCCAATGGCATTTGGCTTCTCATCTTGTTCCTCCTCTTGCACCTGAAGGTGGCATCTGGGCATCCTGCTAGCACAGCATGTCTCGTGCTATTTCTTTCTTGTGTCGTCATTGAAGAGTTTGGAGAGCTGCTGTGTGGATTTAAGTTGTAGGAAGTGCTGACATTCCCATGCAGCTGCTGTCACTGCAAAGCCCCGATCTTGAGTGTGTGCCAGCGTTTTCACATGACAATTCTTCTCTGCCATAATGCTCAAATATTAAACTGCTTGTCAGCTGGAAACTCTAGGCTTGGAAGTTGGAGGTCAAACCAAGACTAAAATAACATGTTTTCTTAAGGAAATGCTGCCACAACTGCAAACTGAATATTTGCTGCAATATGAAATTGGACGACATTGTTAATGCCTTTCGGAGAGGAAAAGCAATAAAATGTAGCTGAGATGAGTAACTTCTCCCAAAACCCAACTTTGAAAGTCAGAGAGCTCTGTGGCTTCTGCCATGCCAGTGCCTACAGGCACCACCTGAGATGCTGTCAAGACTGCTGAGCTGGACGCTGCACATGGCTGCAGACTCGGCTGCCCAAATGTGGGAGAAAGGAAGTATTATTCCCCTGCCCTCGTCTTTGCAGAGGGAGGACCTCCAGAATAGAGGTCAAGTGCTTTGCCCAGGATCAGTAGTGAGGTTGGAAATTGAACCAGGTTTGGGTTCTCAGTCACATGCTTAAACCACAAAACCAGGCTGCATCCCAGCTCATTTTGGAAGTTGGAAGGGTGTGGGGATAGAGCTCGGCTGTTTTAGGAGTCAGGATGAATTGAAATGTCAGTCCTTTGCTATTGCTTGTTCTTCGGAAAAGAGGAAAAGCATACAGTGGTGTTTTTAATTGTTTGCTTAAGGTTAGGAATTCATTCAGCTGTATTGTATTCTACCGGCCTTTTTTGTTGCAGTTTAAGCAAGAACTGAGGACTTCTGGAGGTCTAAGAGGATCCATCAGTTGAGTACTCCGGGAAGGAGTATTCTTCCTACTCCCGTGTCTGTATTCCTGCAGTTTCCATTGTACCAGCTCTGGCATTTGTCCGACCCCTTTGCTGAGCCAGGCCAGGCTGTGGGGAGGTTTCCATTGCTTCTGCAAAGGGTCCAGAAAGTCCCAGAGTTGGAGCAGGGGAGAGGGCCAGGTTTAGACCGGGAGGTGGAGGTGAGAACAGGACACCACTGCTGGCAATAGGGAGCTGCTGGGGCTGGGTGAGTCTGACTGAACCATATCCCACAGCCCTGCTCTTTTGGTCCTCTCCCCCTTCCCACCCACCTCCTATTTTGTGTTGCACCAGTGGTGTCTGCTTTGAAACCTGCTGTTCCTTTTGCTGCTCCGCAAGACTGAAGTCCCGTATTGGCATCTTCACCTCTTTCCATTCTTTAGGAGTTGGCTGAGGGCAATGGCTATGTCATCCCTTCTTGCAAAGGGTTTATCAATAATGGTGCAGACTTCTCTGCTTTTCCTCTGAATGCCCTGCGACCACGTGGCAAACCTCTTAAAGGGTTGTCCTGGGCTGGGGGTCCAGGATGGCTTGAGGAGGGAGGTGGGCACGAGCCCAGCATCCCCTCTGGCTGGGGCTGCCCAAGTGACTCGCGGGATAATGGCTCTCAGTTGGGATTCGCTTGACCCCCGGCTGAACTAGTGACCTGGGGGTGAAAGGCTCGAGCTCTGTATCGAATTACTAATCGTCCAAACTATATTCATCTTTCAAGCTGTTGATTATAGCCACCACAGAACTTCCTGAAGTAGCTTCTGCGCCATATGTAGGTAATTGGGAATATCCAGCTAAGCAGTGGGGCTTGCTGGCTGACCCTACTGTACAGCTTGTTCACAGCCGTGTGGACATGTCCTCTGTGCATTTGTGTGTGACATGAGAGACTAAAACCATCTCGTTTAACCTCCCCATGCAAATGCATCTGCACATTCCACGTAATAAATGTAATTGTGCCGTGGAGCCTTGGAGTTGTAAAAAGATGTGACCGTTTTCAAGAGTACCTGAAAATACTTGTTCTATAATCCTTGTGCATTAGGCAGCCTTATGAAATGGAAGGGCCTAGTTTCTAACCTTGTGTTAATATGCATGTGCCTAGTCTGATTTCATTTCACAGGAATCTGTGTGTTCTTAGCTGTAACTGCTACTTAAAGGTCAGTATTTTGCTGACAATATCATAGTTATTCATTATCAGTATTCAAAATAGGATGGGAAAAAAAAAACCCGGTGAATTTTCATCTGCTGCAAATATATAAACCTAAAGGAACTCCACTGCTTTTGTATTTTGCAGTGGTTTAGCAGACTGCATCTTGCTTTGCAAAGCGTATTTAAATAAGAGTTATTTCTGCAATGTTTGATGCTAAATGCTAAAAGGGAGCGAGAATATAAGGGTAGTATTTCTTTGTTGTAGTTGTGCATGCCAACCTAATTCCTTTCCTTCATGTCTCTGATATTTATGCAGTATTTAACTTGACCAACAATGTGGATTTGGAGAACACCAAAAGGAAAATGGAGATGTACCAGAAGGATAACAAAGAAGTCATTCAGAAAAATAAGATAAAACTGGTTAGTTGAACTCTTTATCTCTTTACAATTTTTATTCATTAGTGAGAAAGTTAAGGATTTTCTAAGTGGGGTACTTCCTAAAATAGTAGCTTAAAACCAAATCAAAGCTAAAACATGATGTAGGTTTCCCATTGTATTAAAAAAGTGTAATAAACTAATATTCTGTGATACTATTATTTAGTGCTGCGCAGAGGTGAAACGGATAGCTGGAACACAATTATTCTTTACTTTGGGAAGAGCTTAAAAAGAGGGACAGACAGAAAAGTCTGTATCTAATTCATCACCGCTGCGTGCCTGCTGGCAGTGTCGTTGGACAATATCCAGGGGAGACCAAGTTCATTCCTATAGCAGGACAATCATTCCTTTCTCATCTGAAGGAAAAAAGGAATCCAGACTCAGACATTATGAAGCTCCCAAGAGAGACTTGTAAGACTGAGAGAAAGCAAAGGTCTGGTTTATGCAAAATTTAAAATGAAGGATGTTGAAACAAACTTGAAAATTTTTGTTTAAGAGCTGATAATAATAGCGGAAGGATTGTATACATTGTCCGTATGCAGAACACACGGGTCTTTGAAGATTTATTCATTTAAATACGGCTCAGATATAATTTTGTTCTTTAAAAATAAACTTACATGGATTTCTTTCTTAAGGAAATGTTTAATCTGCTAAATATTTTTTCAGTTTAAAAAATATACATCGTTATTGGTTCCTGAAGGAAAATGTCTGCCAAGAGTGTGACATAACAGGGGTGTGTGTCTGTGTGTGTATCCTCGCTGTCCTAAGGACTCTCTTTCAAATCAGTAGGGGTGAAGTCCTTGCTCCCATGAAGTCTGTGGCAAAACTCCCAGTGATTTCTTCGGCCCCAGCATTTCACAGGAGGGGGTTGGAATCTGAAAAATGTTTGTTTGAACCTCTTCCTTTTAAAGGCAAGGAAATTTCCCTAGGGGTCCATCTCTGATCTGTTGTCCGGTGGCCGACGCTGTGCAATATCCTATGCTTCAGAGGAACACAGAGCTTGAAGACATCCTTGACCACGTCTTATGTTACACTATGAGCAAAACCTCTAAGGTCACTGTCAGAATACCCTGAGTCTTTCTTTTGTTCATGTATATGCGTTATAGGCAGCCTGTGCACTGTTTTTACGAGCTTATTGAGCAGCATAGAACTACTCCGTCCCCACCTGGGAAGCTGCAGTCCAGCAGAGTCCATCTCCATCTCCTGGTCCATGTCCTTGTAACTTCTTCTCAGCCCTTCTTTTCTGCTGCTCTTGGCATCATGAGCATGCTTTTGTTCTTTATAAATGAAAATATTAAGTTATTGAACTAGTTGCCTCAGGTTTGAATGACTGCCAGTTCAAGACAGGACACATTTGTTGTCTTGTAGTAGTTTCTTAGGGCCTTACTATTTCTGTGCTAACCCGTGTGTTGGCTTTGTAGATTTAATGCAAGATCATGTAGGGAA